CTAATAAAATAATTACATTTTTAAACCCATGTGAGTAATGAATACATTATCGACATAAATATAATTCATATTGTGTATGCTGTGGATTGATAACAGTTTTTATTCAAATCAATCTATCATATCTACAGATCTATCAACATTACAGATTAATTTATACAAATATACATATGTAGTGTATAATACTAGCTTGGGAACCCAGCTTTCTCGGGAAATTAAATTACTGTTTATTTAAAAGTTAACACTTGATCTCAACTCCCATTCTTCTATCCTTCCATTCTTCTATCCTCCATTCTTTCATACTATCTACCCATTCTCCTAGACATTATTCACCCATTTTTCTACACTATCCTCCCATTCTTCTACACTTTCCTCCCATTCTTCTACAATATCCTCCCATTCTTCTACACTTTCCTCCCATTCTTCTACAATATCTTCCCATTCTTCTACACTTTCCTCCCATTCTTCTACAATATCCTCCCATTCTTCTACACTTTCCTCCCATTCTTCTGCAATATCCTCCCATTCTTATACACTTTCCTCCCATTCTTCTACAATATCCTCTCATTCTTATACACTTTCCTCTCATTCTTCTACACTATCCTCCCATTCTTCTACAATATCCTCCCATTCTTCTATACTATCCTACCATGCTTCACCACTATCCTCCCGTTATTCTATACTATCCTCGCGTTTTTCTATACTATCCTCCCATTCTTCAACACTATCCTACATTCTTCTATATCATCTTTCCATTCTTCTATACTATCCTCCCATTTTTCTATACTATCCTCCAATTCTTCTATACTATCCTCCCATTCTTCTGCACTATCCTCCCATTTTTCTATATTATCTTCCCATTCTTCTAAACTATCCTCCCATTTTTTTATACTATCCTCCCATTCTTCTACGCTTTCCTCCCATTCCTCTATACTCCCATTCTTCTACACTATCCTCCCATTATTCTACACTTTCCTCTTCTTCTACATCTTCCCATGGTACTTTATGATATTCACAGAAGAATAACCCCCTCCCTTTTCATACCTATTTAAATCCAGACTGTAAAAACCTTATTTTATTTTCATAAAATATTGTACTAGAGAAACATGTAAATGACATGTACTATGTACAAATCACAGCTTGTGAAACAAAATGTGCAATCTTTCTCACAAAAATCTTATTTTTGCCGATTCGCGCTTTTAATTTAAACTAGAAATAATTGCATTGTAGAGCACATAAATGTGAAGCAGGGTAAGGTAATATAAAGCCAAAAGCCAATCTGTTGGGACACTTGAAAGCTGATCCGGTTTTGAAAATAGATGGATATTCACCATAACTCTCCCACCATGGTTTCAGTAGAAGTAAATATTTCCATTTACTGATAGAGCCGATTGAAGGATTCATACCTCTAATTGGATATATGAGATAGATAGAAAGATAGATGTTACCACCATACTATTTCTATTGGTTCAGAATAGACAACAAACACATGACTGAACCCTGCTTGGATCAGGCGCTAATGGACTCGGCATATAGTGCTCCAGATCTCTGTGACAATGTACAGAGTCCTACAGAAGTTCTAACATTGCCTTACTCCCCCCCCCCCC